TCTTACTACGTTCCAGGTATTGCACTATACATGTGACATGCGTCATCTCCACCAGTCCCCACGACAACCGATGGAGTTGGTCCTGCGCTACTTTCATTTACAGCTGAGGAAACTGAGGCCCAAGGCAGCTAAACCAAGGGATCCCTAATGGCAGGCCCAGAATTCTCACCTACGTCTTCCCGCTCTAACTCTGAGCTAGAACCACCGGGCTAAGCTTATGCTCACTACACAGAATGCTGATTAATCTATTCCTACATCCAGATTTCCACATACCCGGACTGTCTGGGGAGAGAGGTGAGGGCCACCGATGCCCACACCGGTAGAGCTGTCTGCAGCGTGAGGAGCTGGAGGGCAGACCTGTGTCTGCAGACAGACTTCATCTGCTCCAGGTGCTTCGCAGTCTGTTTCATGAGCGCATCTCAACCTGAGAGAAGCCAGAGCAGGAGCTGACTAGACAGAAGCAGGACGTTGCAGCCCTCAGTCTTCCTCCGTTTTGACACCTTCTGGTGTGTGCAAAATCAGCGATGAATTCTGAGGCAAACCTCTGAGGGAAAGCCCCTCCTTCACCCAGACCCACCACTCCTTTCCAAGGAGGACTGCTGCCTTTCTCGGATCCACTCAGCCTGCCCATCCAGGGCCTTTCACCAGGAGTCCTCTCTGTTCAGTTGAAATAACTACCCATGTTCTTATTGCCACAAGAAACCACATCTGTCATCTAGGCTAGGAGGAAATATATGCAAATAAAAAGAGGGAGCCCACTTTGTATGTCATTAACTACTTTAATCCTCACGACAACCCTGGAAATAGGTACAGTTAATATTATCCCCATAGTACAGATGAGAAAACTAAGGCAGAGATAAGTCTAGTAACTTGCCCAAGGTCACACACAAACCTAGGCAGCATGGCTCCACATTCCAGCTCTCAACCCTTCCATGTGGGCATAAAGAATTCCTGTAATGTGTGTGGCATTGCACAGCAGACTAGTACAACTTCTCTGAGCAGGAGCTAGTATTTTTATTCTGAAGGAAAAGTTAATGATTCAATACGAATTACATTCTATGGGAACCAGTGAATTTTTCCTACTTCCATTCTTATCAATTAAAACTATACACGCTTTAGACGTAGTAGCTGTGTTCACTGTTTCTGATCTCTTCATGTGGATTTAAGTTAAGGGGAGAGAGAAATGAGCAGTAGCTGCCAGATATAATTTCAGGAAAGTATGAGACTTACAACCTGCCAGTCATTACTAAAAATATAAAATCTTTCACACATTTTCTTTATTTGATCTTTTATTTCATCTGTGTACATATGTCCAAGGAGATTTCCTTTCACACATCTAGCTATGATTTGCTGCAAGCAATGATATGCTTTCCTCTGTCCACGGAGATGTTTTATTTTCAGGCAGACTTTTATTGGGCATCTACCTCCTGCCATGCTTCATGCTCATACTTCACAAGCATCATCTCATTTAATCCTCTCTGCACCCTGGCCCTGTTTTCACAACACCGAGAGGTCAAGCAGCTTGCCCAGCATCCCAGAGTAACAGGCAGAACTGGAACTGGAAGGGTATGCTCAGTACCAGCACAGACCAGTAACCCTCCCTCTCCTTGTCCCTTGCCAAGCCCCCCCCTTTATGTCCATTTCTGCTGTGAGCATGGTAATATATTATTTCAAGAAGGTGGAGAGCACTGTCCAGGATGCCTAGATTCACGTAACAGCAGAGCTGACCGAGTTGCCTTCAGGGTGATGAACAGCCATCCAACCGCTCCCACAGCCTCAGCCTCGGCCCAGCCCAGCCTCTCTCGGCTTCACACTGTAACCCTCTCCTCACTGGCCCCCCTTGCCCCTCCCATCTATAGCACACTCACCGCCGCAGCCACTGGGAGCATCCTAAATATAAATATAATTTTGTCACTCCCCTGCCTGAAACCCTTCCCTAGCCTTCCATCCTTATTTAGAATGAGTGTATTAATGATACAGTTTACTAATTTAAAATATCACTGTCTGCTATGTGTGAATGGAGTTTGAGGCAAGAGAGAAACCAGGGAGACCAGTAAGGAGCCTGTTGCCACGGCCCAGGTGGACATGGCGGTGATTAGGGGGGTGGCAGTGGAGACAGAAATAGTCAGGATATACTTTGGAAGGAGAGCGCGAAAAGCTTGGTGACGCATTGCATGTCTTTATGCAATGTTTTTAAATCTCATCAGAAAGCATTATAAAGATCACTCTGGTTTCCCAAGAACACGGCATTCAAAGCCAATTAAAATATAGAAAATAGCCTGGTTGGTGTGACTCGGTGGTTGAGAATCGACCTAGGATCCAGGAGATCGCAGTTGGATTTCCAGTCAGGGCACATGCCTAGGTTTTGGGCTCGATCCCCAGTAGGGGGTGCGCAGGAGGCAGCCGATCAATGACTCTCATCATTGATCTTTCTATCTCTCCTTCTCCCTCTCCCTTCCTCTCTCTGAAATCTATAAAAACATTTCAAAATTAAATAAAATATAGCAAATATTTATTCACCACCTACAGTTGACCCTTAGATGATGCCGCAGTTAGAGACACCAACCCCCGAGCAATTGAAAATTCATGTATGACTTTTGACTCCACAGGCAGCCCTTCCGACTGTGAATCTGACATCCACAGATTCATTCCTGGGAACCTGAGGTTGGGAAACAGCAGTTGGGAACGTTGAAAATTCTGTTTTTTGATCTGCTGTTGAACCTGGGAGTGTGAGACCCGAGGATTAGACAGGCTGATTGAATTTACTAAAAAACTCAGAGTATTAGTGGACACGCACAGTTCAAGGACCAGCTGTATAAGGAACTGTACTAGGAAATTAAACAGGAGATGTTTCTGTGCTAGAAACTTAGACAGAAGGAGCAAGGCTCCTTCCCTGGAGGAGCTCACAGTCCAATACATCTGATTAAAAAGAAAAGCGAATGAATTCTTGCTACCAGCAGAATTTATTTAGGGGGCCCAGGAGGTGGTGACATCAAGGTAAGGACTGAAACTTAGGAAGAATGTGAGCTGGAACCTCAGGTGCGGGGAGAAGGCCTTCCAGGCAGCGCAACACGCACACAGTTACGGAGTGGCAAGGCCATGATGTGGTCGGAATTACAGACAATACCATGCACAGATGCCGAGTCTAGAGCTAGCCAGGCCCAGAGGAGGAAGAGATCTCTAGTCTAAGTCAGGCCAAGAGGCTGGATTTTGTCTTTAGAGGCTAAGGTTTCCCTGAGTGTATTCATACCACTAGAGGTACCCAACGTCATTTCACTATACACAGACAAGCATGTGTTAGTTAGGTGGTTACTTATGTATTTTAATGTGTGCTGCATAATATACAATTAGTGTACGAAGGTTACAATATGAAGTCTTCTTTCTAAATAAATTTATTCATGCAAAATAAGCCAACTTAAAGAACAATTTCAAGTAAATCATAGAATAAATAGGTGGGCAAATACGGGAAAATTCATGAAAGTGGAATGTGAATGGCCAAAGTTTGGGGCTCCCTTCGTGTAAATGGGGGAGACCCACTGAAGGAGAATTGGCAAGGGAAGGCCTGATGGCATTGGCAGACGGAGGGTTATATCTCCTGACCAGGAGGGTGACAATCATTCTGGGGTCCCTGAAACCCATGCAGAGGTTCCCCTATAGCAAACCTGTGGCCTGGGCCTGTAACNCTTAAAGAACAATTTCAAGTAAATCATAGAATAAATAGGTGGGCAAATACAGGATAATTCATGAAAGTGGAATGTGAATGGCCAGAGTTTGGGGCTCCCTTTGTGTAAGTGGGGGAGACCCACTGAAGGATCACTGGCAAGGGAAGGCCTGATGGCATTGGCAGACGGCGGGCTATATCTCCTGAGAGGAGGGTGACAGTCATTCTGGGGTCCCTGGAACCCATGCAGAGATTCCCCTATAGCAAACCTGTGGCCTGGGCCTGTAACGGAGGAGGTGTGAAGTGAAAAGACTGAGCAGGGAGAAGAGTTTCGCAGAAGGTAAAATCACCTGCTCTTGGCAATCTAGGAACAAGGAGTGAGCAGAAGGCCCCAGGGTGACTGACTCCCAGGTTTCCGGCTTGAAGGTGTGAGTAGACTTTGGCCACCAGCCACTCCAAGGACGCCTGAAATTTGTCAAACAGTATTTTAATTAGGTGCATTCTTCTTTATGTTCCAAAGAGGAAATTCTGTCTGACTCTTGGTGAAGTGAGGATTTGGAAGTTGTCCAATCGGTTCTGATAGCAGGTAGGGTCCGTTTTAGACTCGAGTGTTTGAGTGTATCGGGGGATGGCCAGAGCTCTCCCCACTTGGCCTAACACAACCTGAAAACCAGCAGCTCACTTCCTTGATCAATGCCGGTTCAACATGTGACAATGCACAAGGCCCACGGGATAATTCATGAACGGATTAGCAACGCTGGTCTTAAAATCTCCAGACAGCTTTGACCTGTGCCTCTGTAGTTCTTATTTCACTTTTCAGTATAAAGGTGAATTTCTATCAACAGAAGAGCATTTAGGGAAAGGAGAGGGGTTCAGGGAGGACTTTCTATGTCAACTTGACATTTCTTCCCTGTAATACAGCTGCATTTGGCAAAATCACAGCAAAAGAATGTGAGGGAAAGTTTTCCGGAGTGAAACTTGACAAGAGGGGAAGGAATTGGTAGCTGTGAGATTTAGCGCTCATTTCTTCTCGGCACGACACCTTCCAGGAATTTCCCGACCTAAAAGACTTTTAGCACATATACAAGTTAAGTGGCAAAGTAACCTTCTCCAGGGTGCTCTCTGGAATCAGTCAAGCCTGGTGATGGACCACAGTCCCTTCCATAAGTGGGGTGAAGCTCCCCTGCTGTCTCTCATTCTTAACACTCAGCTCAAACCTGCTTTCCGCTCCGGGCGGTGTGCGTGTCCTTGTTTGTGAGTAACGAGCCTCACGGGAAAGTGTATTGAACGATGCTTGCGCGTGCATTAATGCAACTCTGGTCTCTTCCCTTTCTCTTAGGTATCTATGGGCCATCGGTAAGAATGTCTGGAAGAGATGGAAGAAAAGGTTCTTTGTGTTGGTGCAGGTAACTCTTCTACTCTAATGTCAGTCTTAAGAGCCATCAGTTTTAAAGATGTGATAGGATTACTGAGTGGTTTTTAACTGAGCTAAACTCACGTGAAGCGCACAAAGCTCAGGTTAGCTCAATGAAGTTTTACGTGTTACACACCCACGTAACCACCATCCAGAGGCGTTCAGTGCATTTCCAGAATCCCTGTGTTCCTTTTCTTATTTTTATATCACTTTAAAATTTTAAAATTAATGCATGCTCATTATTTTTAAAATTCTGATGATACAGAATTATATAAGATGAGGAGAAGTGAAGTGCCACCCTGTCAGTGACCAAGGACCCCAGGGAGGGAGCGAGCAGGTGCCTGTTTAGGGCAGTGGGATAAAAACTCAGTGTTAGAAGACTGTGCTGTTTCTAAAGGCACTAAGATGCTCATGAGAAAATTCAGAATTTAGGCGGACTCTTTACATCTATGTTATTGTTCTGTGTGTTTGACATTTAACTGCCTGTAGGGGAGCAGTCCACTCTTCTTGATGCCTGGGTTTCTAGTCTTAGCTGGCCTCCTATAACTATGTTTACAGTCTGGAACATATGTTTCCAGATAGACTTTTTTTAACCAAAAATAATCAATCTCTTCATGTTGTTCTGCAAATTGCTTTTTAAAAATCATTGTAGCCATTTTCCACGCCAGCACATATAGCTCTGGCTCTATTACCTATAAATTTTCCCATTTTTTCTTATGATGGGAAATTTTAAAATCTACTCTATTAGCAATAAATTTTCCTTTTTGATAGACTTCTGGGCTTCCCCAGTTGGGACTATTACACAGGACATCTGTGTAACAGGTACAGATGTAGATGCAGATATTACTATTAGTAACATATAAACAGTATCTTTGCTCTTGAGTGTTTCTTTAAGAAAAAATATCCAGAAATAGTAATATATGTCTTTGAAAATCCCTCCTTTTTGTTTGTTTGTTTGCTTTTTACATCAGGTTTTTTTGGTTTACAGAGGAATTTGCCATTGCCTCTTTTTAATTTGCAGGCTCCACCAGAGCATGTAAACTATAATTCAATTTGCAAAAAGTTAATTTATGCTGTACTATGAAAGACATCATAAAGTGTGTCACCTTGTAATTTAGTGCCTACGGTGTTTATCCAGTTGCTGTGTTGGCTCAGAGCACTGACTAGTATTTAGATCACTCTCAATTCGGAAACCTCACCATGAAGTAACTGCCTCTTAGGCCTTGAAAGTTCCACCAACCTGAGCTTCTGAGACTAGACCTTCTACAGATCTACTCAAGTATCTGCCACTGAGGCAAGATGCATCTCTCTCTCTGTAAGCAAGGGTAATCTTTGCTTTCATGATTGCTATGAGGTACAACAAAACCTAAAAATAAATTAGCCAAAGGAAAAGTTTGGAATTATGTCCAACCTCCAAAATAATCCATGGCTAAGCAGTAAAAGACATTTTATTCTGAGATACATTTCCTCAGGCTACCAACTGGCTAATATTTATTGAGCACCTACTTTGTGGAGGGCACACTAGTAGGTCATAGAGAAGGGCTATGAGGCCCAGTCTCTTACTTCCAGAAGAATACCTGTTAAGAGTTCTTTATAGGCAAACCGCAGAAACAGACTCAAACTAATTAATTTTTTTTTTTTTTTTTAAAAGAATGTATTGAAAGGCACTTGAGGTAGTTCACCGGATTGCTGCAAGGGCTGAGTGAGCAGTCCTTATTACAAATAGAACCCAGTTCCAGAAGTCCAGGTAGTGGGGGCCATGGCCAGTGTCATCTAGGACAAAATCAGCCCAGCTGGGCGTGGCTCAGGGCATCAACCTAGGATCCAGGAGATCGGGGTTTGATCCCTGGTCGGGACGCATGCTGTGGGCTCGATCCCCAGTTGGGGACGCGCAGGAGGCAACCGATCAGTGACTCTCTCATCATTGATGTTCTATATCTCTCTCTCCCTTCCTCTCTCTGAAGTCAATAAAGATATATTTTTAAAAAATAATAAGACAGAATCAGCTCTGGCCATCGTCTCTCCTTCAGTTTCCACACGAAAGCCGAGCCTGAGAGGGGGAATTGGGCGGGTCCGGCTTGGATCACACGCCCAACCGTCAGCCGGGGCAGGCAATGGCGCTTTGGCTAGCAGGCCCACTGGGCCGTCTCGGGTGCCGAATCAGGATGTCATTACCAGAAGGAGGAATGGATGCTGGGCAGGAGGAAACAGCCGATGCCCAGTCTGAAGAGGGCACAGTATAAATGGGAGGCGCGCTACCTCCGAAGAAGCAGCGCTGAGTAACGGTGGTTCTCGGGGCCAGTGCGCTCGCTCGGCCCCGCAGCCTGAGAGCCGCCCGGGACCGGCCCGGCTCCCCAGCCCCTGGGTGCTGTCTCAGGCCAGCTCGGCCTCCGGGTCCCCCGAGGGCCTCCCCCACACGCATACACTTCCTCTGCCTCAGTGTGCGCACGGCCACCGGGAAGAGCTGGCGCAAGAAAGACGGGAAAGGAAGGGAGGAGAGCCTGGCGAGCGACAGCCCCGCAGTCGAGGAGGGACGGCGGCCCTGTCCCCGTGGCGGGGCGTCTCCCCGCCCATATTCGCGCCCCACTGCCACACGACTTTTCTCTGAGGATTTTGAAACGAAGCACTTAGGAGAAGTAGCTGACCTCTTACTTTGGGAGAGATTTTAGGGCGAATACACCTCTTCAGGAAAATAACGAGAGGAAATGTGCCGAAAATACCCTTGAAGCCCCGTGGGCAGAACGCGTTCTGAGAGCAAAGGAGAGAAGGGCCGCCTCGGGCCGCGCCGAGAGCACGGGTGTGTTAGGCCCTGGCGCTGAGCCTATAGATGCTTTGTCAAAATGGTGAAGAGGGCCCGGCCGGGCGTGGCTCAGCGGCTGAGCATCGGCCTGGGATCCAGGCGACCGCGGTTCGATTCCAGGTCAGAGCACATGCCCAGGTTGCAGGCTCGATCCCCAGTCAGGGGCATGCAGGAGGCAGCCGATCAATGACTCTCTCATCATTGATGTTTCTATCTCTCTCTCCCTCTCCCTTCCTCTCTCTGAATCAATAAAAATATATTTTTTTTAAAAAAGTAAAATGATGAAGAAAAACTCACCCCTTTTGAAACAATTCCAATGTGCACATGGCTGCAGGAGCTAAGTTCCAGGACACCAGTTTGAAGCAAAAACATCCCAGGCTGCTTGGAGAGAGGATGGCAGTCCAGGCACCAGTCAGCACCCAACAGCTGCATGCAGCTTTGAAGTCGGTCAGTCAACGTCTTCAGTTTCTTTGTAGCCCCCAAACCCTTCCACTGGGACTCAACATACAAGTGAAACCAGGTGGAGCACTCTGGTCAATTTGGGGGGAAAAAGCAGATTCCACAAAGCCTGTCCCAAGTCCTCAGGCAGCCTCAGAGGGAGCTCGGTGGGGGCAGTGTGAAGCCACCACACAGGAAAACACATCTACCCAAGAGACCTACTGAATGTTTGTTCCTTTATACCCAGATGGTAGGGCTCATGGAGTGCTTTTCAAATTAAATTTTCACATAATTTCCAACACAATTATGCATCCCATTAGATTTAATGTGTTTGAAAATCCTAAGAGAAATACACATCCAACACCAGTCTCCTCAAAATCATCTCCCCTCCTGCCCTCCATTCTCTCTCCCCACCCCTCTGTCTCTCTCTCCCACACAGAGTCTATATTTTCATGTGTAACACAGAATTATTAAAAGCCTCCCTAAGTAAAGTTCTCTTTATTGCTGCCACCTTGGGGAACAAAAAGGTAGATGTCCTTTGTCCCTACTAGCCAGGGACAAAGGACATGCTCAGAGAGGTGTTGAACCAAAGCAGCAATCCCATTTTTAAGGATCGGGGCTAAAATTATTATGGCTGTGGCTGGAGTCTGCCCCACCTACTGTGCTTCTGTGCCAGAGACTTAAGTGCTCCTACAAGACAAGACAGTGTTCACCACGTAAGGGCCTGGACCCCTTGCATTGGGTATTGTTTAAAATGCAGATGCCAAGGCACCATCCAGAAGGCTCTGATGCAGGATGTCAGATGAGACCCAGGGTGCCGGGTGTTTTCCCAGCACCAGGAGACACTGATGAAGGTTGTCCAGAGACTACCTTTGGAGAAACATGGCCTCAACAGTCAGTGTCCCTTTTAAGGTGAAGGCTCCCGACCCTCTTAGACTTTATGTTCTCTAAGAAGCTGAGCAGCAGAGTAGCTAAACAGATGACTATATGCAAATGACATGACAAAGCCTCCTTAGCCCTGTCCTTGAAATTCCAATATATGCCCTAAGAACGTGGCTATTGACCCTAATCTAAGGATTAAAGAGAAATGGGCCCTCAGCACCCCAAGTCAAGAAATTGCTGGGACACTCATTCTAAACCCCAGAGGCCACAGTAAGGACCAAATACATTGTTAGGACTGTGACCAAACCAGTGGTAGAGGTGAAGATACCAGTTCCTTAGCACTGCCCTGGAGCACCTCCCCCTGGCTGTGTGAGGGAAGGGAGGAAGCAGCCGACTCATCAGCCACACCAGCCTGGAAAGTCTCACCTCTGTCAGCTTTCTGTTTTAAAATACTTTTCTCCCATGCTCAAAAGATTTCAGGTTAAAATCAGTTTGGGTTTGGTCTTCAGCCAAAGTATTTCTGAAATATTTCCCCCCTTTTAGCACCATAAAAACCATCATATTTTGTGGTTGCTCTAATAATTTTAATTATTGCTTACATGTACATGGTCTCTCTGAGTTTACAAAGTGGTCATTCATTTGGTATTTACAACCTTTCTGTACTACAGTGAAGTCAAGTCTTATCCCCCTTTTACATTAGAGAGAACTGAGATTGAATGACTTACCCAAAGCCCGTGGCTCCTAAGCGGCCAATGAAACTAACACAGGTCTTCTAACTCCAAATGCCTTCTGTGACTCCGAGCACTTAGGTGGAACTGGTGCTCAAAGAGATTTCATGTGTATACAATTTCTAGAACTCACTTGCCTTGCATCAGATAGAACCAATGTGGTCCCTAAATCCATATCCTGTTTCTGATTCTCTACAGATAACATAATAGCTTAAAAAAACACACACAACTCTGACTGTTCCAGCTTTCAGAAAAATTACTAAATCTAATGAGATAAAATATTGTCAAATAATGTAAAATAACTCAGAACACAGCAGTTGTCACCAGGAAACAATATTAAAATAAGTTAACCATGAAAATGAATTTTAAGACATATGAGTAGTTAGTAATTTATAACTCTGAATGAGTGTTTATTTTCCCCACTCAACTTCACAATTGCCTTAAAGGTCATTTATATTCATATTCTGGTTGCAAAAGACAACAATCAACCCAAACTAGCTCGTTTTAAAAGGGGAAGGCTCGTACTGGTTAGTTAATTAAATTAGTAATTAATTAAAGTCTTCCGGCATGGCCAGGTCCAGGGCTCAAGGTCAACAAGACTCCATCTATCTACCACCTCTTGACTGTGCTTTCCTCTGAGCTGGCTTCACCCTCCTGCAAGCTCTCTCTTTGTAACAAGCTCTGGTCAGGCAAGGCTTAGAACAGTTTAGCGGCCCCAGAGGAAACAAACCCTTTCCCTCCCAGTAGTTCTAGCAGAGGCCCCTATTGAGCTTTCAGTGGCCCGAAGTGGTCGTGTGCCCGTTCCTGCACCAATCACTGCGGCCAAGGAGATGTGATACTGATCGGCCAGGCCTGAGCCACCTGTCCCACCCACCCTACCTCCAGCTAAAGGGACAATTAGCCCTACGCAGACTATGTGGGCTGAAAGTGGAGAAGAGGGTGATGGATGCCCCAGGGAAAATCAGGATTCAGTTACCAGAGGAAAATAAACATTCTGCATGCAGACATTAAGAACTGTCCTAGATATTATCATCTCCATTTAAAGGTAGTTAAACTGAGTCTCCCAGCAAAGTTAACTGAACTGTCTGGGGTCACATAGCTAGGAAATAGCAGAAATAAGATTCAAATTCAGGTCTGTGTGGCTCCAAAACATATTTTCATGCTACTCCACCAAGTGGCCTTCATGTCAGTGTCACTCAAGAGTCTGGTATTTAGACTCTGTGATTCTTCATACATAACCACATCAGTGGTCCTTGGTCCTACGAACTATGTGCCTCACATCATAAAAATGTTCTCCATCCTCACATCTTCGCTCATTTAGCCAATGGTTCCTCATGAAAACCTTCCCTGACCACCCAACTAGACCAAATCCCCAAGGTCTTACAGTACCATAGATCTCTCTTTTTAATACATATCACCATTAAAGTTACACATTTCTGAGCTAATGTAATTAATGTTTGCCTTTCTGCTAGGCAAGAGATCAGGAACATATCTGGTGGTGTATGTACATCTTTACATTCCCAGCACCCAGCATACTACCTAAGAATTTGTCAAATGAAAAAAGAAAGAAAGAAAGAAAGAAAGAAAGAAAGAAAGAAAGAAAGAAAGAAAGGAAGGAAGAAAGGAAGGAAGAAAGAAAGAAAGGAAGAAAGAAAGAAAGAAAGGAAGAAAGAAATAAAGAGAATCTGCCATACAGAAAGAAGTATTTTCTAAAATGTATGTATGTGAACTTTGGACGAGGCTCGTGACCAGAGTTCAGTAAAAATGACAGCCAAATCATTCCCAAAGCAAGATAGTAAAGGCAAGAACAGGGGACTTAGACAAAATGTATTTTGTTAGTTGTATGTCCAAGTAGTATAGTCTCCGTGGGTGCTGGGAGGAAGAAGACGGAGAGCCAGGGACAAGAAGAGACTGACCTCCTATCTCATAACTGGATTCTAGTTGCCAAATATAATTGAAACTCGGGGCAAAGTTATAATTTCTGGACAGTTCCTATATGTTAAAACAGTGGTTCTCAAGTTTGAGTGTGCGTTAAGAAATATCTGAGACAGTTACGAAAAATAGAGATTCTTGGACCTCAGATTCTGTTTCAATTGGCCTGACTTAAAAATCTGCATATTTATAACCTACCCCACTAGATACAGACTCTAAGGAATGTGGCCTGTCCACTCTTTGCAAAACACTATTGCAAACCTTTCCTAGTTTAAGCAAGTGGTTGGAAATGAACTAAGATTCCCTGTGTATCCAAGGTTTAGCTAAGGTTTGTACCCTAAGGAGTCCCAACAGCCAATTCCATGATTCCATGAAAGGGTACATACTAGGTAAAAATCCCAAAAATGTGAAAATTGTAGTCCGTCACACTCTTCTCTCCAGAGTGTGTTTTCAGATGTCTATGGTGGTCTAAGATGCCTAGATCTTTATGTTTTCTCTTGGTCTAGTCGAGGCTTTCAGGCCGGATGGCTGACTCTCTGACTCCTAGCATGTGTTTCAGACTCTTCTATGCTATTATTACAACAGTGCTCACTATATCAGTAATTTTCTTCAAAATACAGCTTAAGTAGAATTCTACTATGACAGAAAAACGTGCATTTCATTGGGAATAGCTTTCACTTAATGATGTCTTGTGGATGCTTTAAAGAAAATTAAAAAGCTGCCAAACCTTTGCTATTCCTCCCTCAAGCAGTCTGGAAAACCCGAGGTTCCCCTACAAACTTGAAATAAGTAGAAATTTTCAAAGAGAAATCGTTTTTTCTCCCTTCCTTGATTTCCTAAAGTTGCCAAATCCCAAATTAAAATGGTCCTAATACACCAAGTATTTTAGCCCAAAATTTGTCAGAAACTTCAGCATTATTACCAGAAGGGGGCAGCAGTGTACAGCGCTCCAAGAGGCAAGCAACGAAACAAGAGGAAAAATGAAAAAGCCCGGAGCGTGTAGTAATAGTAAATGCGTGAGCTTGAAATAACACCCTTCTGTTGTGATTTTTCTGTTCTCAAGTGAGTGTCTGCAGCTCTCTATTTGTTTAATCATCACGGTAGCAAACTGTACCATCTCGGGTTGCCGGAGAGAGGTAAAACCCCCGTCCAGCCGGCCCGCCAGTATCTGTAATTACTGCCATGTCGCAGGGGGTCAGCTATCTGTGGGACCAGTAACGGGTTGGAAAAGCCTGGTGCTGTGCATGGAGTAATATATGTAAATTTGTGAGAAGAAAATCCAAACACCTCTTTATTACATCAGGCATACTCAACTTTCTAGAAACAATCAGGCTCAGTTAATGAATGCCCGCTGTGTGGCGGGTTTTGCTATGGGAAATGGAATAAAACCAAGATATATGGCTCCCTGTCTCAGAACGTTAGTGCCAAATGCCAGGAAATTGCTTACATTGGTGCATGTATTGGGTATTTTCTGTGTGAGGGTCACACGCATTGTGTAAAGCCCTTCGCTGCTCAGTGAATCCTAGAGCACAGTAAGACACAGGTGAAAAACAGAGGAGGACCCGGAGACTTAGCGAGGAGACAGCTTGTCAGAGCTCGGATGGGGCCGCGGGCCTGTGTCACCACCAAGTTGCACTCTTAAATCTCATTTTTTTAAGAGAAGAGGGTGCTAACAGGCATTCTTCATATGACGAAGGGTAATACGTGTCCACTTATGAAAACACTCTTAGCGATCTGGCTGTGTGTTTCCCTTGAAGCCCATCAAAGGAACAGTCTGCAAAGTCCCTGCATCATAAAGACACAAGTCGTGAAGGGTTTTACTGGAAACCAACAGAGGGCAGCAGCGGATCAACCAACCGGTAACCGCCCTCCCGCCGAGGACTCCCTTTATCTGCCCCGGGGACCTCGGGCCCCCTGTGCGGGAGACGCACGCAGGGCTTGAGGGCGCCAATTTCCTATGCCCACTGAAAAACAGTCAAACTTCACCATGCAGGAGACTAAGAATGTCCCCAGCAGGGATCAAAGTTCACTTAGAACATGTCTCGTTTAATAAAAGGAACTAAGAGATGAGGGATATGGCACCTTTTCGCCATGACATTTGACATCCGTGGATGGTAAATATGCCCACCCGCCCGAAGCCCGAAGCCCGAAGCCCGAGGGAAGCGCGCTCTCCCACGGCTCCTCGCAGACCAGCCGGATGCAGAAACGCTGTGTCCACACTGGGTCTGGATGCGCCGTGGTGACAGGTCCTGGAAGGCGGCCTGCAGCCGCAGAGCGCCCACCAGGCACTGGCATGCCCGCCCGTGAGGTGGTGCGGGCTGTGCCCAGACAACAGCCGAGCCGTGGGGCGAGGATGGCTCTACCGTGACTGGCGCCCAGCATTCAAGCGCTCATCACTTATGACAGCATGTCACTCCGGCATTTGTCTGCGATGAACAGGAGACTTTTCAAAGGAACCAAAAGCACCCTTCAGTGGAAAGAGGGTGGGGGTTGAAATGTGAGGCTTGCTGCTGAGAACTGGCGTGGAAAAATGAAATGCTGAAAATGTATTCAAAAGTTGGGGCATAAATACACGAAAGTGTAGTCCCTCACTTCTGACCAAAAGGCCTGCGTTATGATGTGAGCTTGGCATTCTTGGCTAGGGCCACAGTCAGTTGCCACTATTCAACCAGCTTTAACCTGCAAAAATGGCAATTTTGTGTGGCTTATCCCAATTAAAATAACAGCAATGATGATAATAGCAAACTATTATTAAGCAGTTACTAAGCTTCAGGAAATAAACCTGAATAAGTGCATTCAATGTGAACTCATTCGATCCTCAAATTAAGTGAGTGAGGAGGTGGGTTCTCAGATTACATCCAGACTATAGATGAGGTAACAGAGGACCAGAGAGGCTGAGTAACTTGTTCCATGTCACACAGCCATGTGACAAAACTCCTTTTGAACCCAGCTCCTGCACACAGGGCCTCAGGGGAAAGGATGTGCTCAAAGGCTGAGGTTTCTTCTAGGGAGATGGGGTCTAGGGAACCCACCTCATGGTCTGCTTTCCCCCCGCAGGTCAGTCAGTACACCTTTGCCATGTGCAGTTATCGGGAGAAGAAAGCAGAGCCTCAGGAACTTCTACAGCTGGATGGTTACACTGTGGACTACACCGACCCCCAGCCAGGTACCCACCCCCCGTAAGCCATGAACCCACAAGACTCTCCCCCTTCCCAAGTCAATGCTCAACTTATATTGTTGGGCATTTACTCCATGCTAGGCTTAAATTAAGCCGTGTTCCTAGGGTCTCACAGATGACCGGGACGACCACAGTCTCTGGCCTTATGGAATTTTTTATCTTGGTTGAGTAAATACTGTCCCAATCAAGAACATTGGTNAGGTGGTGCGGGCTGTGCCCAGACAACAGCCGAGCCGTGGGGCGAGGATGGCTCTACCGTGACTGGCGCCCAGCATTCAAGCGCTCATCACTTATGACAGCATGTCACTCCGGCATTTGTCTGCGATGAACAGGAGACTTTTCAAAGGAACCAAAAGCACCCTTCAGTGGAAAGAGGGTGGGGGTTGAAATGTGAGGCTTGCTGCTGAGAACTGGTGTGGAAAAATGAAATGCTGAAAATGTATTCAAAAGTTGGGGCATAAATACACGAAAGTGTAGTCCCTCACTTCTGACCAAAAGGCCTGCGTTATGATGTGAGCTTGGCATTCTTGGCTAGGGCCACAGTCAGTTGCCACTATTCAACCAGCTTTAACCTGCAAAAATGGCAATTTTGTGTGGCTTATCCCAATTAAAATAACAGCAATGATGATAATAGCAAACTATTATTAAGCAGTTACTAAGCTTCAGGAAATAAACCTGAATAAGTGCATTCAATGTGAACTCATTCGATCCTCAAATTAAGTGAGTGAGGAGGTGGGTTCTCAGATTACATCCAGACTATAGATGAGGTAACAGAGGACCAGAGAGGCTGAGTAACTTGTTCCATGTCACACAGCCATGTGACAAAACTCCTTTTGAACCCAGCTCCTGCACACAGGGCCTCAGGGGAAAGGATGTGCTCAAAGGCTGAGGTTTCTTCTAGGGAGATGGGGTCTAGGGAACCCACCTCATGGTCTGCTTTCCCCCCGCAGGTCAGTCAGTACACCTTTGCCATGTGCAGTTATCGGGAGAAGAAAGCAGAGCCTCAGGAACTTCTACAGCTGGATGGTTACACTGTGGACTACACCGACCCCCAGCCAGGTACCCACCCCCCGTAAGCCATGAACCCACAAGACTCTCCCCCTTCCCAAGTCAATGCTCAACTTATATTGTTGGGCATTTACTCCATGCTAGGCTTAAATTAAGCCGTGTTCCTAGGGTCTCACAGATGACCGGGACGACCACAGTCTCTGGCCTTATGGAATTTTTTATCTTGGTTGAGTAAATACTGTCCCAATCAAGAACATTGGTTTTATTCAAGGGATCCTTGTAAAACCAAAAAGGAAACATATATATATATATTTTTTTAATATTTTTATATTTATATATATTTTTTTCTTTTACATAGCTGTGACCACATCAAATATGTACTCTATCTTACAATGCTAAAAAATAAATTCCTGAAAAANTTTTATTCAAGGGATCCTTGTAAAACCAAAAAGGAAACATATATATATATATTTTTTTAATATTTTTATATTTATATATATTTTTTTCTTTTACATAGCTGTGACCACATCAAATATGTACTCTATCTTACAATGCTAAAAAATAAATTCCTGAAAAAGAAGTCCTATAGGAACACCAAGGACCGTGTGTGTGTGTGTGTGTGTGTGCGCGCGTGCGCGTGTGGTTTTCTCACCAGTGATATGTGCTCCTATACCGTGTCTCCGTGTCCAAGTGGGCCTCCCTGTCCATCTGTATCTGCTAACTACAGTTCAAGGTTGGGTGCTGGCACTTGGAAAGAAAGCCCTCCCTAAATGTCTTTTTTCCTAAGAAGACACCAATCCACAAGCATAGACATCCAAGCTCCTAAGCCTTATGTAACTAAGAGAACCACACAAATGGTAGTATTTCTCATAAGCTCTACATCCTGCCCCCTCACACCTCTCCCCACCACCACCCATTTTATCTTCTTCCCAGAAAAAAAATGAATAGAAATCAGCCTCAAAGAACCTTCAGAGTGGGGGGGGTGTGAAATCATTTCAGCATATTAATGAACACCAAGCACCAACAGCCCTCTCCCAGAGAAGTTTATTTTTATGCCAAATCTGCACAAGGGAAGCATTTCCAACCATACTGCATTATTTGGCCCAAAACCTTTTTTTCAACTCCCATATTGCTCTTCCACATGCAACAAAATACACATGAAAGAAAAAGAGTTTGCGAGAAGAGGGGGTGTTAACCTGAAAGGGTGTGGCCGGGAAGGCCGCAGGCCCAGCCACTTAGGGAAATGAGCACCTTCCGAATCCCAGCCCCAGGAGGTAGCATCCCGCCCGAGCAGGACACTGAGCTGACCGCGTAAGGCGTGAGTTAAAGGCTCTGCCTGGAAATCCTTCATAATGAACAGAACCTGTGAGTTTGAAACAGTTTCATGCAACGTCTCATTGAAAGGATGGGGCTCCTGCATTAAAAAGCCAGCCCTCAGGGTGTTCTGTGATGGTTTGTGATCTTCTCAAACCATTGAGTTCCCTTCAGAGAAATGGATCCCACCTCCCCAAGACCCATGGGTTAAGGTGAGAGGCTAAAGGGCCAATGCGAGAGGGGAAACGATCACGTCTCTGACAGCAATTCGTTTAAAGCCAGCGCACCCCTTTCCCCTCCACCTGACTGCACTGGGTCCTCACCGCAGTCCCACCCACAAAGCAGGCAGGACCAGGGTGGTCATCCTGTTTTGCAAAGGAAGCAACTGGGCCGGGGCTCAGGTCCAGCCCATGCCGCCCTTTGGCTCTTGGGGCATCTGTAGTTGTCATTTTGTCACATGGAAGCACAAGCCTCTTCCTACAGGAGGGCGGGAGGGGAAGGAAGCTCTTCTATCCACAAGCAAAAGAAATGTGCACATTTATTAGAAAAGCATCTCTTCTTTTTCATCACGTTGATCCCACGGGATATAATTTATAAATTTCTTTACCAAAGACGTAAATGAAAAGTAGATCGATTATGTCCTTGAGAATGATAAGCAGCTTCTTCTTTGCTTTCGGTGTGCCAAGTCCTATTTATTTCCAAAGTAACGTTTGATTGAAAATGAGATTTAAACGCTCCTAATTGTCATAAGAAAAGTCTATCTCAGAATTTCTCGAAGAACGCTCATTGAAAACAGAAGTTCCTGGGCCCCAAGCCTAAGCTGTGAACCAGAAGGGAGAGGCCAGAAGCCTCTCCAACAAGCTNCCAAGCCTAAGCTGTGAACCAGAAGGGAGAGGTCAGAATCCTCATATTCCAATAAGCCTTGCAGGGGCTTCTTCTACACAGAAAAGTTTGCCAGCTAGAGGTTGAAGCGATGTGCAATTTAGCCGGCGTCCACACAGATGTGAGGAGTGTCCCCCGCTGCCCCCGAGAGACGAGTGTGCAAGTGGAGAGGACTCCTGGGTCCGTCTCCTCCTCTCCACCTCTTGGCTGTATCCAGGTTGTCATTGGACCCAGCTGATGGAGGTGTAAGGGGTAGGAAGCCTTATAGCTGTGGATGGCCCTGCCTTTGTACCAGCCTGGGACCCGGTGGTCACGCAGTCACAGGCATTTGCACTAAATCGACTTTACCTGTTTAGGGTCCTTGAAGTATTCATTTGGGGGATTGGGAGATAACTACGTAAGTTTTGCACACAGGCTACTCATTTTGAGCTAAAGATAAAAACGCTTCACTTTACCTTTCCCTGGGTGTGATTCGGAGAACGTGCGACAATCTCTCGATTCCTATTAGAGTAAGTGGTGAAGTTTTCAAATAAAAGGACATTCATTCAAAATAATTCAGTGGCACAGTTTAAACCAGTACATTAAATCTTCAACAACTTTACCATAATAAACAGGCTGCGTCCGTGCGTGTTGCTGGCCAGTCTCTCCCCCAGGGAGCCGGCCAGCGTTCCTCGCCTGGTCTGCTCCCGCCATTCCGGGCCATGTCCTCTTGTTCCTGACACGACAGTGCCTGTGGGGTATCTGCGGAGAGCCGTGCACTGGCACAGGTCGCATTTGGCAGACTGGGCGCCAGGAACTGCCGCCTTATCTAAGACGGCTGCCTTGATGCCTGTGTGGACGCTCGCTTTGCTTTCTGCCGCTCGGTTTTCTTTCATCTGTTGCTCTGCTCCCTCCTTGCCCTCGCTGGTGGGTCCCGGTCTCGCTCCGCTGCTGCTGCTCTAGAAGTTTCTCTTTATATCCTGCTGCCTCCACGAGGAGGCTTCCAGTGCTGCCAATGACTGATCCGCGGAGAGCTGTCGTGCGAGCCGGCCACGTGGTCCGGGCCACGCAGCCCCGGGGTTACAGTCATCGCTCTGCAGTCGGCCAGCCAGGACAGGCCCACCTCTGACGCTCACAGCCCCACCCCGTGTTCCTGGGCCACTTTGCGCCTTCTCTGTGACTCAGTTTCCTCATTTACAAAATGGGAATAATAGTACTTATCCCAGAGGGCTGTGGGAGGGTTAAATAAAAATCTGAAAGCATCTTTCTCTCTCCACCTCTCCACTTTGAGGCAACCCGGGGAGCTGACTTTCTGACAGGAGCTGCAGCGGGGG